AAGATGCTTGACTCCATTTACCATATAGGCGTTCGCCTTTCTACGGGTGCTTTTCGCACTAGTCCTGTAAAAATCCTGCATGTACAAGCAAATGAGTGGTCACTGCATCTCTAGAGAGATGCAGTGACTGCTTTATATGAACTCTATACGCAGTGACTTTTCTATATTCCTTTCTATTTCCTCAAGGTGAACACGAACAACGAACATGCCATACACTTCATTGTTAGTTATTTATTTTTTCAGCTCCATTCTGTTTCATAACTGCCCTGCCATTAGACGGCCCTACGCACTTCGTGTGCGAAGCCTAGCTTAAGGAATATGCGTGCCACTTCTTGAACACCTTTCGGCTCCTACCACTGCATACGTCCCGCCATGGCAGTGGGAGCTCACAGATTGTGATCCATCATTTGTAGAAGTTACTAAGCATACACCAATTGCACACATTTAAACATATTTCCTCGAACTTCAGCATATTCATATCCAGAGTTATTTACTGATGCTTCAAAGACTAATACTTCTGTTTCCTACGTAGCGGTCGGCCCATATTTGTCAGATACCAACACTATGTGCCCTAACACCAGCATATTCAAAGCAGAAGCTTATGCCACACTTGTGGCTGTAAAACACACCAAACAACTAAATTCTTTGCAAAGTGCAGTAACATACACAGACCCCCTGAGCATGGTAAAAGCCGTTAAAACTCTGAAAAGACAAAAATCCTGCCCTAGCCTCACTCTATTCACCTTTGTGCACAGTGTGCACACTCAAAAAAACATGTTGTGTGGTTGGTGCGTGGGCACCGCGAGATATAAGGAAATGTGCTGGCAAACCAGCTAGCTGTATCTGTCTATGAAAACAGTCCCAATACATTAATAGCTTTCCCACGCTTGATATAAAACCTTTCCTCAGACGAAATCCCGGAGCTTATAGGCAGAGCTAATGGGATAGACAAACATTGCAAATGAGTTCTGTGGAAACCAGCTAGGTGTCGGATGGGTGAAGGAAGGGAAAGAAGATAATGACTTGTTTGTAGCACGAAGCCACAAAGGAATCCACATGGATTCTGAGAAATCCATGCGTTTCCTTGTGGCTTCGTGCCACAAATAGGTGGTTTCTTCTTTCTCTTTCTTAACCCTTCTGGCACCTTGTGGGTTTCCTGAGAACTCATTTGCAATACTTGTGTCTATGCGCTTTAGGTTGTCAATAAATTCGCCTTCGCGCTCTCAATTGCTAGCTTCCTGGTTAGCTCATTTGGCAGAGTGGTCTCGCTGGAAAGGCGTTAGTCCTGGGTTCGAACCCCATGCCATGACGAATTTTTCGCCAACTAAGGTTATTCTTTCTGAGAAATCGTGTGGATTTCCTCATGGCCACAAATGGGTAGCTGTTTCTTTTGGTGGCTTTTTCGTTTCATGAACAAACACAAAACAAACTACACGTTATCAAGCCCCCATTTTGGTAACTGGCCGCCATTATCAAAATCACGCCACACAGAAGTTACACTCACTAGGCTAAGAATCGGACACACTTGCACTACGCACTCAATCTTTTTGTCCGGTGGGGATCCACTTATGTGCGACAGACGTGGTTAACCAGTCACTGTTCTCCGCATTGTCATCAAATGTAGCACATTAGACCCCATCAGAAAGAAGCACTTCCCATTAATCTATCTAGAACGAATACTTCTTTACCCATCGGTGCTGATAGGCAGGGAACCACCTTTTTAACTTTGTCATTGTTTGCATTTTTAAAAGAAGTATATAGCTTTCATGTTATATACCAAGGCCATCCGTAGCACGACCTCCAAGAAGAGGTTGTTGCTGCAGTAAATACACCAAAAAAAGCCCCTGCCTCCTTTCTTTTAGGCCTCAAAGGCCTGGAGGAAGCATTCGTGCTGTTCCAACCCTTGCTTGTTCTACATATCTTTGTCACTTGTAGTTCATTGCTCTTCCACCGATCGCATCGCGCATCACTGCCATAATTTTATAGTCTATAGACAGATTTTATGCTTCTTTATATTATGCGATCTTAGGCCTCTTCATAGCCATAGCACACCCTGTCCTTGCAAACATTGGTCATAGCCATTACCAGATAAAAGACATGGCACTCTTTGGCCACTCATGGCCTTTGCGCCATAAAACCTGTGCCGTGTCGGGTACTTATGAAAGATTAGTACAGGCCAGTTTCTAGCAGTAAAAAGAGTTCTTGGTTTATTGGGTGCTTGTATTTAAACATAATAAGGGAAAGAGTGTTCAAAGAGTACAGAGTGTGCACGGTGGTAAGTGGCGGCATTGAATGAAACATCACAGGCTTTGGTTGTCATATCGATAAATCTTCCTTCCTTTGTGTTAGTTAAAACACAAAACAAAAACAGAATAGAAATTGGATGAGCGGTAAGCCGCTAAGTTCTCGCCATACGCTAGCCTCTCCAGGAGCCCTCTGTCTCGCGTAGGTCTTCCAAGCACCTGGGCTGCCATGTTTGTGTGTTCTTGTGGCATCTGACGTCGGCCTCGGTCCTCATTGTCAGACGCTTCATCGGACGCATCCACCTTGGAAATACTACTAAATGGCTCTCTCGTTGCAAGCAGATGCTGTCGATTTCGTCGAATCACACTGCCTTTTCCTGTTCTTACAACTTAATACTTACGTCGCATGCGGCTGATTACTCTTGCTTTGGTTTCCCTTCGTCTCCCTGGACACATACTGTTTCCCCCTCTGCAAAGGGAGAAGGGGTGTCACTATTGGAGTGGCCTGCTGATGCTTTTCTCACCCATAGGCCTGTTGTCTCCTTGAAGTCGAATATTAGGGTGTGCAGTCGTTGACCTTCAAGCAGCTCACCCAGGGTTTGGCCACCCTTCAAGGGACTGGATCTGTGATTCAGGAATCAGAGCCAAAAATCATTTTCCTTCAGTTGTTTTCTTCACTATTCCTTTAACGACTCATACACCTTTTTTCGGTCAAACCATTCGAGCGTGGCAATCTAGGGCTTGAAATGGTGTGTTTGAATTCATAACTTCTTGCAAATGTTTAGAATTCTCAACTGGGGAGTTGAGGCTCTTGGTCAGTACAAACCTCGATTGGAATGCCTACCTTGCAACCATTGCACTCAACTTGTGAATGACTGTAGCAGATGACTTGTCGTGCAACAATTTTACTTCTAGAAAATTTTTCAGAGTGTCGTATTGGTAGAGATAGGAGCTCCCGGTGTGCTCAAACAGGGCAAATCATAAGAAGCTCACTTTGCTGTTTGTAGAAGTACTTTCTGCAAACTGCACATGTGCTCACAACGTTTTCAATATTGGCATTTATGCCTGGCCAGAAAACTACCAGCCCAGCGCGTGCCTTGCATTTGTTATGCCTCAGGTACCCGTCATGTACCTTAGTATCTCTGGCCGGATACTCCTCGGTGTTACTGTCCTTGAACAGTGTGCCGTTTACTACTGTAAATTCTTTGACAAAGGCTTTGGGCTCTCCATTTATCATTCGGTTACTTCTTATGGATTCGACGACGCCCTTCAAGGAACTGTCATTATTGGTTTCTTCTAACAACTGTGCTTGACTGGCTTCACTAGCGAGTGACGAAACTATGCTTACGGCAAGCACTGCCACATCTTCGCTGTCCTCATCTGTGTCAACTAGAGCCCGAGACAGCATGTCTGCCAGCACTAGCTTTCTTCCTGGAATAAAAATCAGGTTAAAATCGTATTTTAGCAAGCGAATAAAAAAAATGCTGCAGTCGAGGTGGCATTTCTCCAATCGTCTTCTCAGCGACGGCTATTAGTGGACAGTGATTGGTTTCCAGAACGATCTTTCATCTGTTTACAAAGTGATAGAAGCTTTCACATTCAAATAATACAGCCATAACTTATTTCTCGATTTGAGAGTACCTTTCTGATTGCCAATCAGCTCCCGCAAGGCGTAGGCAACAGGCTTCCACCATTCCCCGTGTCATTGCAGCAAAGCTGGCCCCATGACCCTTTTTTTGATAGGTGTCCGAGGTTATTTTAGTGTCTTGCATGGGGTGAAAAGGAGACAACACAGGTTGCATGCTTAAGCATTTGCACAGCTCACTCCATTCTTTTGCACCCTGCCGCAGAGGACAAAAAACATTTTTCTGTTTTGAAGCTGCGTCGTCTCGGCAATAGACATCTAGTGTCGTCGCCGGGCTCACGAGTGGACGGCGTTGTTGCTTTGTCTGGTCAAGCACGCCTCCCACTGAGCCAAAAAGTTGTACCCTAAGCCTAATTCTATAATTTTATGACGAAAAAAAAAAGAAAAAAGAGGGAGGGGTGGCGTAGCAGTGTTTCATAACTTGTTCTAACTCTTGCAGAATGCTGCTTCATCCGCCTTCATCGCAGTATACTGGTGCTCCGCAGAAAAGTGCGTTATGATTTTGAAGGGACTGTTAGCATTAATCATAAGACAAATCACATCTTGTTCAATTACTCGTGCGTACACGGCACATAATTGTGAGTACTAAGACGATCGATTACACCTGAAAAGTTACTGGCAATTATTTGGAGCAGTGTATAACATTTCTGGCGCCCCGAAAAGGAAAAAAACTATGTGCTAGTTTTTTTTTCTGTAGCCGCTATGAATCCTCCAAATTTTAAGGTCGTCAGCTCGGCAGATCCACATCTGAATTTGCAGAGTCAGGCGCGGCAAATTTTAATGTGGACATTATCTATATTTGCTCAGTGAGGAGGTTCAAAACGCTACTGTTATTTAAATAGCAGTTCTCTTATCACACTACACGATTTAGTGCATGTTGGATGGTCTCTACATATTTTTTTTTCTAAATGTAAGGCTTCTTTTTCATACTGCTCCAAATTTGGTATTTTGGAATAAAAAATGAATGTTTTCTTCCCCATAACCTGCTCTGAACTGGGATTTTTTTGCCCCGAAAGTAACATTTTGCTGCTCCAGGAATTGCTCCAAATACTATTTTGGCAGTTGCACCCGTGGGTGGGCACTATTGTAACATGATGGCTGTTATTGCGCAGGTACCTCTACTGCGGCACCTGCGAACCCGACTCTTTTGAAGAGGCCATTCACATTCGGGAAGCTGCAGACAAGTATCTCGTGCCCGACCTGGTTGCAGTCTGCTCCAAGTACATTAAGGAGAACATGTCTCCTGACAGAGTCTGTCCCCTCCTGGACTGTTTGGCCACCACTGACATTGACCGGGTGGACAATGCTGCTCTTCAGACGCTCAAGAATGATGGTCTTTCCGTGCTCAATTCAGAATCGTTCACTGATGCGCTCGACAGCACGGTGGAGAGTGTGCTAAAAGTTGTGCGAGGTGTGCCCGAGAGTTGCATCTTCCTTGCCATCCGGAGGTGGGCAGAAGAGAAATGCCGAAAGTCTCTGTCGACCAGTGAGACGCCATTGGAACTAAAAGCAGTCCTTCGGCCTTTTCTGCCCAAGTTGCGCTTTTTAGCCCTTACGCCGCAGGAGTATGTCCAAGGTCCCGGTTCATGGAATGTGCTTGAGGACCAAGAGGATTTCGCCATCCTCAGAAACATCATTGTCCGTGGTTCTGTCCCACTGCCTCTATGGGTCTGCACTGACGATACAGTTCGTGGACAGTTGATTCTTAAAGATTTATTTGAGAGGCCAATGGCCATTATGAAGAAAGAAGTTGACTCAGTGGCCGATGGTAATGAAAAACTAAAATGACAACACAGCAAGGCTATTTTCCACCAGACAGTGCCTGTGGTATATAAGTGCTTGTTTTAATAAATTTGACAAGCTATCATTGAGTGTTGCAAATGTTGTGCTGAATGCTGCAGCCACAAGCTAACATAAATTTTCTTGCTAGCTGCACACATTACTTTAGCTATGCTGGAGATTTTCATTTATATAAAGGTAAGTTTCTTAGTAGTGAAAATAAAACATTTACAGTCATATGGTTGCTATTGCAAGCGGTGTCATGAGGTGAAACTTACTAGATTTGGGCAAAAAAAGTTATACTTTATTGTAACTCGTAATGCTTGCATCCCTCTTGTGTCGTCATGAGTGCATGGTCAATTAACAAAAACTGAAATTGAATAAGTATTTGTGTGCAGAAAAAATTGCAACTTGGCAACTTAAGACTTTGCATCAATTTTTGTTGCGGAGAAAAAGATGGCAGACGTCTGGATATGCTAATTTTCTGCAGCTGTGGTACTGTGCTACTATATCTAGTGGTCATCAGAGCACCACTAGTTGGATGCTATGAAGTTTCATTATTGTGATTCTAGTGCCCCAGAAATTAGCAAGAGGCAGGCAGTTATCCCATACATATACAGGACAGCACATAGTTTGAAAAACATTGGTGCTCGTTATGACATAAACATGTCATTCTCAGCGCGTAATAAATGCATAATGTGTGTACTTTGATGGATAAAGCGTTGTGTGCGCAGCCAGGGAAAGGGAACAAATGTGTCTTCAATCATGTCCACAGATATTCACCTTGCAGTACTGGCGTGGTTCATGGGATTCCACTGTCTTGCGGCGGCGAACATGTAGGCGAAATAGGGCCTTACATAAACGTGCGCTTAAGAGAGCATGAGCTAATGCTATCAGGTGCTGCAATCACGTCTCATTTGACAGCTCATTGAAACAAACACTAGCCTCAAATGAAACAAACACTAGCCTCATTTGCAGATAAAATGAAAATGATCATGGACAGCGTCTCACAGTTGACGATGAGTGTGGGACAAATGCAGAGTACATTAAATGATCCTAGGGAAGGGCTTAAAGCATTTAGCGAAAGTATGTCTGGCAACGACAAAGCGCAGCATGGACCATCGTTCCACACAGCCCCCATTATTCCCCAGGCAGGGGATACGAATATCCAATATGGCCCACACTAAAAAAGAATTTCGAGTGTGGCAATGGAATTGCGGGGGATACAACAACAAACGTGCCACACTCTAGCAATATCTCGGATCAGTACAATCTAAGCCGGATATAATAGCATGTAGCGAGACAGGAAGACGGGACGGCGGCCAACGTGGTCGTGTCGTTCTCTCGCCACTTTATTATCCAGGGCGATTGCCGAAGCGGAGCGGCAGCGGCTGCCACGTCCGAACCGCCAGGCATGTGAGCTCATGATTTGCAGACTCCCCGCCTTCCCGCAGACTCCCCGCCTGTCCCGCACCTGTGGAGGCCCGCGACAAGCACTCCAAGAAACTGGGTAAGGATACGTCACGCTCACTGGGTATAGAGCTATAGAGTGCGAAAACTATGGTAGAGGCTTATATGTGTTTGTAAATAGGCAGCTGACACACATCTTTCACGATCTAGTCATTCGGGACAAGAACTTAGAGTATCTCATGGTGGAGGTATTAGTGCGGGTCTCATACAAAAATCAAAGATGCAACAGCTTATTTGTCCTCAACATTTACAGTAACCCGAAGCACTACAAGCAACAGTTCAAGATAATTTTCGAGAAAGCTACGAAACTCGCGGAAGATAGGCCTCTGATCATATTAAGGGACTTCAACGCTGCTCATGAACTCTGGGGATATACTGCGACAAACCCCAAAGACAGGAATCTATGGCATCATGCTGACGAGCAAGACCTGGTATTGATTACGGATAAAGGGTATCCGACAAGAATCGGCAATTCTGTCTGTAGAGACACCACACCCGACCTAACCTTTGTCAAAAACATAGAGCATCCCATATGGACAAATACCGGTCATAACTTCGGCAGTGATCACTATGTTCTCGAGGTTTTGCTGGAGGTTGAGAAAGGCGACACTCGAGAATTTGATGTTGTTGATTGGGATGTCTTTCGCAGAATTAGAAGGCAAAGCAAACCAAATGCTACCAAACCAAGCCTCAAAGAGTGGTGCGAATCCATCAGGAATGATATCAAATCGGCCTCCGGAAAGCTTCTCACTGACGCTAACGTCGAGGCCATGGATTCTAAACTAGCCCACTTAATTGAAGCAAAGCAGGCCATTACTAAAAGATGGCGAACTCAACGACTGAATCGTAAACTAAGGAAGAAAATAGCAGAACTGAATAAACAAATTGAACTGCACTGCACCAATCTATGTAAGCAGCAGTGGGATGAATTTGTGAAACGAATGATGGGCAGATCAGGAACGGCAAAGCATGGAAACTTATTAAGCACCTCCTAGACGAGCAAGGCACCAGGTCCAACCAGAGACACTGTCTTGCCCGGGCCATACACACAGCCCTTAAAAATCAAGACATTGAAACAGTTACTAAACAACTCACAGACAAATACCTACCAGTCGCTAAGGAGCCAGAATGATTTCCACGATCGGAATATCGGGGAGCCCCTCAGCCGGAACTGGATCGACCGTTCTCTTTATCTGAAATCGGAAGGGTGTTGAGTGAGTTAAACAGAAAGTCTGCCCCTGGCCCAGATAGCGTCACCAACAAGTCACTCAGGAATCTCGACGAGCCCTCCATTGAATCACTGACTGATTTTATTAACGAAGCATGGAATTCGGGTGAAGTTTCAGATGAATGGAAACTTTCTTAATTAAGTCATACTAATACCGAAACCGGGTAAACCTCCAAGTCTGGAGAACTTGCGACCAATATCACTAACATCATGTGTTGGAAAAGTTGCCGAGCATGGAATCCTCAACAGGCTTAAAGATTTCTTGGAGGACAACAACATATACACCTACAATATGTTAGGCTTCAGATCCTCACTATCTACTCAGGATGCTATGAAGCAGATTAAACACTATATTCTAGACGGATATTCTAAGATACCAAAGCCATCCTCGGACTAGACATGGAGAAAGCATTCGACAACATTAGGCACAAACACATCCTTCAAACGATAGAGAAGATTGGACTTGGATCGAAAATGTATAATTACATAAAATCTTTCTTGGGGGCACGTACGGCGAGGTTAAGGGTAGGAGACACCAACTCAGACGTGGTTCAACTCGGTGATCGTGGAACCCCTCAAGGTGATCTCTCCCGTCCTCTTCACCCTGTGCATGATCGGCCTGTCCAGGAAACTGAGCAATATCAGCAACATTCACCACACCATCTATGCTGACGACGTTACTATATGGTGTGCTGGTGGTAGTGAAGGACAGGTACAAGATGCACTCACAGAAGCGGTGCAGACAGTGGAGGAATACTTGAGGCCCACTGGTCTCAGGTGCTCCCAACAAAAATGGGAGTTATTACTTTACAGAAAAGAGAAAGGGGGAGACCTAAGGGCTGGAAGTCACTATCCGAAAGTGACTTACATATTTTGACCGAAAACGGGGTAAATATACCCAGAGTCGACACGATATGAGGGTACTGCGCTTTTTTATAGATGCAAATGGCACGAATCACATGGCGCTCAAGAAAATTTTCTTCAAGACAGAGAAGGCATACCGGATGATCAGACGATTTGCAGGGAGACAAAAAGGCATGAAAGAGGACAATCTTATCAGGTTGATCAACTCTTTCGTGCTATGTCATATTTTATATGCAGCTTCTATGTATAACTGGACACAAACCCAACTAAAGAAGCTCGACGCGGTCATCAAGAAAGTCATCAAGAGTGCACTGGGTCTCCTGCTTCGCACCAGCACTCAAAAATTGCTCAAGTTAGGGGTACACAACATGACTAGAGAAATTGCAGAGGCTCAAGAAAAGTCACAAATAGCAAGACTCTCTACCACTTGCACGGGGAGATCGATCCTCGATAGAATCATGATCAACCCTGTCATAGACCAGGAGACGTACACCAAGATACCACAGGACTTTGCTGAGAGCATCGTCGTTGCCCCGTTGCCAAGAAATATGCACCCAACCTTCAACGTCGCCAGAAGGGTAGCCCGGGCTAAGGCTTTATAAAAAAATTCCGCCATATCCACGAAGTGAATGATGATGAGTGGGCGAAGCTCCGGAGGTAAACCTGGTAAACCATGAATCCTCTGTACATTTTGCCCACTCGATTTTATTACATCGCTCCCCCTAGCGTACGTCGCCGCACTAAATCGAACGATTGCCTTCAACCAATGACACGCGCCATATGTGACATCATTCCTATTTTATAAGATCTCGCGTCTTTCATCAACTACAAGTACCGCTTTCTAGTTTATAACATCTTGCATCTTTTCATCATCAGCTACAAGTACCACCATCTAGTAAACACTACAAGAACTAAACGAGAGGTGGCTACATACAGGAGACGGTACCGCCATCTAGTGAACACTGCAAGAACTAAACTAGAGGTGGCTACATACAGAGGACGGTACCGCCATCTAGTGAACACTGCAAGAACTAAACTAGAGGTGGCTACATACAGGCTACAGGGGACGCACAGCCCACGCCCTAAGGAGCTTCGCCCCTAAAAAGTTGGATAAAGGAGGCAGCGGGGCTTGCTTTGTCGACCCAGCCTCATATAAAGACCGAAATAAGTTCACCGCGGTAGTAGTTGACCACCAGGGCAGGTGTACCAACTGCGCCACAGTTTACACTTCCAAACCGGAAGTCGCTGAACAGGTTGCTATCGCGTTGGCCCTGATGGATGATCGATACACCGAGATATACAGTGACTCAAAACCAGCCATCAGAGCCTTCAGCAGGGGCAGGATCACACCACAAGCAGTTTGAATTAATAGTAAACAGGCCATTGATACACATTACATATATTGGTTCACAGCGCACCTTGGATTACTCGATGACATTCCCATGAATCCAAATGAATCGTCCAACAGCGTTGCCCGCGAACTTACGGACCGGGACGCTTTTACACGTGGCTTTGATTCTGCTGGATTCG